CATTTGGAGACTTCCATGCTTCTTGTGCTTGGCCGTTAAGCTCGTGATGCGCTGACGGATTTCAGTCACTTTACCATTTCAAATCACTTATCGCAGCCCCAACGCTAAAAAGAGTGCTGGAAATACTTTCTTTTTAGCAAATAAACATGTTCCAAAATTTCAGGTTTTTTTTTCAACAATGGGCCTGTTAAAATATTGCATGTTTGAATAAAGTTGGCCAAAAGTGTAAAAAAATATTTCACATGAAATGACTTTATTATCTCACATTCCATGATTTCAATGTATTTATTTTAGGGCAAAGCCACATTTAGCTATCTGCCGTGTCCACAGCTGGGAATTGAACCCCGGATGTTTGCGTTACAAGACCGTAAACTTACCACTGATCCACTAGGAGAGTTTTATTTCAATATGGGGAATGTTTGCACAATTTTTCAACCTGCTCAAAAAGTTTTGTCACCTTTTAGCATCTTCTTGACATTTTTCTTTGACAATGTTTTCTGAATAAAAAGGTGTAAAACGTTTATTCAGGCTCCAGTCATTCAGGAAATCATTTTTGTTTCACCGAGAATTACCCTTCTGTGATGCCAAGATGAACGTCTTCGCGCAGTCGGAATGTTGCAGGCTGGTCTGGCACAAAACGTTGTTGCAAGACGTTTCGGAGTCCATCGGAACACTATCCACTCCGAGATCGATGAAATGGCAAAGTGTTTACGTCGTCTACCAAATCAGCCAGTAAAGTTGGCGGATCTGGACACGGCATTAACCAACATCTTGAATAACATTCCACAGGCCTTTTTGAACAATTTAGTGTCATCAATGAGGCACTGTTGTCAAGCGTGTGTGGATACAAATGGTGTACACACGCGATATTAGTCCTGAATACCAGCGTCTTTCAAATGCCCTAAAAATTACGTTTGTTAACGTTAACATTAATTAACTAAGGCATTTTGTAACCAATGCATTTGTTAACAATACTGCAAAATTAAAATTAAATTTGTTCAATTTTATTCATATTTCAAGTGATGCAGTTTCTTTTTTACGCTAGTATAATATTATGACAAAATTTCTTTTTAAGATTAAATTAATGTATACGAACTTTCACTCTAAATAACAGAATTTTAATTACATAACAAATTGAGAAGACCCGGCATGGCCAGGTGGTTAGGGCGCTCGACTCGTAATCTGAGGGTCACACCAAACATACTGTTAC